CGGACTCTCAACCACTGCTCCACCAGGGAAGCCCTAATCAGCAGATTTTAAACTAAGGAGATTATCCTGGATTATCCCATGTGTCCAGTGTAATCACATGAGCCCTTAAAAGCAAAGAGATGCTGCAGAGGGGGAGGTCAGAAGGATTGGGGCCCCTCAGGAAGGGGCGGGAGGATGGGGGAAGAGGTGGCAAGGGGAAAGGTCTNNTCCTGCTTGGCAGAGCCGTTGGCGGACCCCAGGAGGAGGTGGAGACTCTGGGCACCAGAGTGACCCCTACCAGTTCAAGCCCCACTCTCAGGGATCCCAGGGGCCACCATGCCGGGCCGGGAGCCTGAAGGACCCCGACGTGGCTGAGCACTTCTTAAAGGACGGCCTGGAAAAGCTCTTCTCTGACCTCCGGGAAATTGGTCATGGCAGCTTTGGAGCCCTGTACTTTGCCAGGGATGTCCGGAATAGTGGGGTGGAGGCCATCAAGAAGGTGTCCTACAGTGGGAAGCAGTCAAATGAGAAACTGCAGGACATCATCAAGGAGGTGTGGTTCCTGCAGAAGTTCCGGCATCCCGATGCCATTCAGTACCGGGGCTGTTATCTGAGGAAGCACATGGCTTGGGTGGTGGTGGAGTGTCGCCTGGGCTCAGCTTCTGACCTTCTAGAAGTGCACAAGAAGCCCCTTCGGGAGGTGGAGATTGCAGCTGTGAACCACGGGGCCCTTCACGGCCTGGCTTATGTGCACCTCCCACAATGTGATCCGTAGGGATGTGAGGCTGGAAACATCCTGCTATCAGAGCCAGGCCTGGTGAAACTGGGGGACTTCGGCTCTGCACCCGTCATGGCACCTGCCAACTCCTTCGTGGGCGCCCCGTACTGGATGGCTCCAGAGGTGATCCTGGCAATGGATGAGGGGGCAGGACGATGGCAAGGAGGATGTCTCGGTCCTTAGGCATCACCTGCACCGAGCTGGCGGAATGGAAACCACTGCTGTTTCACATGAATGCGATGAGTGCCTTATACCACATTGCTGAGAGCGAGTCCCCCGTGCTCCAGTCAGGACACTGGTCTGAGTACCTCCGGAATTGTGTCGGCTCCTGCCTTCAGAAAAGCCCTCGAGACAGACCAACCTCAGAGGTTCTTCTGAAGTACCGCTTTGTGCTCCGGGAGCAGCCACCCGCAGTCATCATGGACTTAATCCAGAGGACCAAGGACGCTGTCCGGGAGCCGGACAACGTGCAGGACCACGAGATGAAGATACTGTTGCAAGAGGCGCCCAGTGGCCCTGGTGCTGAGGCCCCAGAGGAGGAGGCCAAGCCCTCCATGCAGCGGGCCGAGACACGGGCCGGTCTAGAGAGCACTCCAGCCAGAGCAGCTCAGTCAACAGCCTGGCAGACACCTCTGACAAGGAGGCACAGGCCCTGAAGCCCGGGACACGGCCGCCATGCAGGAGGGCGAGCACGCCGTCATCTCCCACAGCTCCATCGTCCACCGGCTGCCGGGCTCTGACAGCCTCCGTGACGACCCCTACCCGCCAGAGATGAGCCCAGGCCCTCTCCAGCCACCTGCAGCCCCGGCTCCCACATCCACCACCTCTTCTGCCTGCCGACGGGCCTACTGCCACAGCCAGGACAGCTCTGCCACCATCCGTACTGCCTGCCTGGTCAGCCGTCAGACCCGGGAGCGTGGGCAGGACTCAGGCCTGCGGCAGCAGCTGCAGGCCAAGGCGACAACAGCACCGGACACCGCTGCTGGCGTCGGGGCTGAGGTTGAGGGCTGAGCCTCGGGAGCGGGAGCTCGAGGCGCGGCGGTCTGGCTTTGGGGCTGAGGCCGAAAAGCTGTCAAGGCGGCACCAGGCTACCGCCGAGAAGGCGGCGCGAGCTGCCCAGGCTGAGGCGGGTAAGTGCCGGCAGCACGTCCTCGGGCAGCAGAAGAAGGAGCCGTCGCCCTGCCGGAGGCACAGAAGTGAGCCTCCAAGCTTCGGAAGGCGCAGCTGAAGGAGGTGGGATGGGGCTGCAGCGGTGGGTGGGGTTGATGGAGGGTGAGGCGGCCCTGACCTCCTTGCTGTCCCGCTGCCCTTGCCCAGGAGCTCCAGGAGAACCCCAGCACTGCCAAGCGGGAGAAGCCCGGGTGGCTGTTGCGGCCGAAGGAGCAGCTGGCCTTGGAGCTGCAGTGTCGCCAGTACAAGCGCGAGATGCTGCCGGCTCGTCACAGCCCGGACCAGGACCTGCTTCGAGAGGTGGCCGCCCCCTCCCTGTTCCCCTCCCAGATCCCAGACACCCACATCCTTTTCCATTTGCCTCACTTGTGGTTGCCTTTCCCCTCTGCTCTCATTCGTGTTACGGCCCGGCTTCTTTTCCACACCTCGTTCGCGTCTCATGCCCGCCAGACCCTGCTAGAGTTCCCAGGCCCGCCGGGAGCTTGGCTCCCTTCCACCTCTCATCTGCACCCCGCGTCTCCCCACCCTCGGCTCCCTCTGCCGAGGAGTCCTGGGGCTCTCACTTCCTTGACACCAACAAGGCTTTCGGACCAGTTTCTGGGCCCTGCCTCCCTTTTGCCTCAGGACTTGAACAAGAAACAGACACAGAAGGACTTGGAGCGTGCATTGCTGCTACGGCAGCCTGAGGCCACACGGGAGCCGGAGCTACGGCAGCCCCAGGCCATACAGCGCACACGGCCGAGCTCACCCGCCGGCAGCAGCAGATGGAGCTGGGCAACCAGCTGGAGTACAGTAAGCAGCGTAAGCAAGACCGCGGCAGAGCACGCAGCCCAGGTTCGCCAGCAGCCCAAGAGCCTCAAAGTGCGGCAGGCCGGTGTTCCCCGGGCCTCCCACTCCCCGCTCCTGGGGCTCTGGGACCACCTAACACAGGCACCCTTAAAGAAGAGCAGCCCTGGGCTTCCCTGGTGGCGCAGTGGTTGAGAGTCTGCCTGCCGATGCAGGGGACACGAGTTCGTGCCCCGGTCAGGGAAGATCCCACGTGCCACGGCGCGGCTGGGCCCGTGAGCCATGGCTGCTGAGCCTGTGCGTCCAGCGCCTGTGCTCCGCAACGGGAGAGGCCACAA